GGGGGGGGGGGGGGGGGTGTCACTAGGCCTGAGCTGTACAAGGTCTGGTTTTTCAGACTGTGTTGAGTGCTCATCCTCTGAAAATCAGGACTTTTTTCCCCAAAGCCTCTCAGATCTAATAATTACTAGTTACTTCTGAACATCTTGACTTAAATGTAGATTCAGTACACCACAAAACCATTATTAACACCCACCGTTCTGTGATGCATTTTATAATGATAATTAGCAACGGTTCCATATTACGAGGGAAATGCTCAGAAAACAGCTACTTTTCTGTGGAAAACAATACAGGGCCTCATACTTACTTTGCAGCATAAAACCAAGCCTGATAAGGTAACATTAAGAGTTTTGTCTCGTTCTTCTAGTGGAGTCCCTTCACTTGCAAAATTCACATTGAGCCCAGCACTGTTACACACGATATGAACTGTGCCCCACCGAGCTACCACGGCCTCAGCTATCCTTTGCACAACTTCAGGTTTGCTTACGTCTGCTGCCAATGCATTGCTTTTAATCCCTAGATTAAAATGAGACTGATTAAGTAAAGAGAGGAATTCACAGAAAATAAAGTGTTCTTTCTTGTGCAACTTAAACAAAAAACAAACCGGTCCATTCCCCCGACGATAGTGAGTTATGCACTTCTTATAGCAGCACAAAGCTTTCAAAAATGAATCTTTTCGGAAGTTTTTCCTTTAACTCTTGAACATTAAATTATCTCTAATCTAACGTGCAATCGACATTTAAAACCAAGAGTTCTGGCTCTCCAAATTGAATGAATCTGTGAACATGACACCATCTTCTGGTCAAAAGATTAACTGCAGCTCAATGACTACCTGTATAGTTTATTCGGCAGTTCTCCGAGTCCTGTGGAGCATAAGGGGTATCACTTTCAGATGACTGGTATCAGCTCATAAACAAGATACAACAAAATATATCATTTGTTCAAGTAGATCTATTTTTACGTCGGATCCCAGATGCCACGGAAATCGCAGCAATTCATCAGGCTATCTGATTCTGAATAAACTAGTGTCAAGCTCTTAAGGGCTCTCTTGCCACAATGCATGATGGCACAGGAAAATCTATCCAGAATAATAGTTGTGCTTGAACTATGAACATTAAAATATTAAAAATTATGGCTCCCATAGAAACATGTTCAGTCTCATTGAGCTCCCAATTTAAAGAATAAAAGCTAATATACAGATATAAAATAAAATATATACTCTGCAGACATAACAATGGACTGATACACTTGCTTTCCCAATAACAACTTGATTTTCCCCATCTAAAATATCAATAAAAAAAAATCCCCAATGTCCCAATTAAATTGCATTAAATTTTTTATTACTGCATATAATCTGTTTCTATTAAATAAAAATATAGAACCATATTTTATAAGGTCCCAATTAACCCAGCAAAGTGCTTGAAATCAATAGGGGTGCACATGTGCTTAAGGTTAAGCATGGTGGACTGAGCCTTCATTGACAAGCAGGGAGGTGACCTTTTGAGTTATAGCACTGCTCAGAGGTTGAGAAGCCAAGTCCAGAGGGCAAGGAAGGCAGCATCAAAAATATGTCCTGTAGAGAATATCGGACTTCTTTACTCCTCTATATGTGCAAAGGGTTTCACATTGGTAGCAATGCATATTGGTCCATATATTATGCCATCATCCAAGAAAAGAAGACGCAATTGTAGAGGCACAGATGTAAATGCAACACGTGCCAAAAGTGAAGGGTTATATGATAGAGGGCAAGGGCTGTCCTTGCATGCTGTCCCGAGTCAAACTCGCTGGCCCATACTCTGCCATGGCTTGTGCTGTTGTTTCACCCCACTGGGCCAGCCTGCCCTTAAAGTACGTGCATGTGAATAGTACCGTTGACTTCCACAAGACGTGCAGGTGCAGGAGGGTGAAAAGGAGCTAGCCATCAATTCAGCATCGTGGAATTTGAACAGTGCCCTTAATCTCTTCCCCTCTTTTTTTTCTTTTTCTCTCACGTGGATTTGCATGATGAATTCCAGCGTCTCGGATATTTGCGTGTGAAAGTCTCCAAAGCCATAAATCATCAGTCAGCCATCCAAAAAGTTAAACCCAGACCACGGGGTGTTTCACTGAGCAAGCTCTGAAGTTTGTTTCCACGTGACTCCAGACCTCATCAGCACTTCCACTCCAGCAGAGACCCTGCATCTCATCCCTAGGTGCAGAGGTGAGGAGGACCGTCTCTGCATGCCCTTTTCTTCGTAACTCTCAGGTGAGTACTGCATCCCCACTTCACCCCTAAAATCTGTGTGTAGCATCTGGCAGAGTTTAAGACCCGATCCAAAGTCAAGGGAAAGATTCCCACTGATTGCAGCAAGTTCCAAATCAAGCCCTCATTTAGCAGCCTTAAGGTGAAAGTGTAGGAAACTGCTGGAGACACAGCAGCTCCATAGAGGTTTATTTGAAAACCCAATATCTTTCAACAAGACCAAGAAAAGTTCTGCTCTTAATGCCCCAAGATATTGTACACATGAAGTTGGAAATCACTTTCTCCAATTCAATCAAATACAAAGACAACAGGGACTTTTTCGCTAGCACATTACCATCTCCCTGCATGCCCAGGTGATTTCCAGATAAATAAAATAGTGCAACACCATCCTAGAAGGACACAGGATATTGGGCAAGATGGGCCTATGGTTTGACCCAGTAAATGACATTTCCTATACTCTTATGAAAACTTGTACTGAAATTTAGCTTCTGGATTGAGACTTCTAAGAAAGTTTAGCAAAAAATAAAAAGGGTAATTATCAGATGAAGTGACAGCACACTGAGTGCTGGAACGAAGAGGGCATTTCTCAGCCATGGCTGCCATTTCAGCATGGCTTTTTGGGTAATGCCCCTCCACTTCTGCCAGTACGGCGAGCCTCCTACCAGAATCAGGAATGAGGTTGGACTACATGATCTAATAGTCCCTCCTAGTCTTAAACTATGAGTGTCTCAATGTTTCCCAGCACCGGTATCAGTGCAGAAAGAGGGCTGTTTTACCATCTGAGAACCTGCAAAGACAAATGCATGTACCTGCTGCCAAACAACACATTTGTCTCTTATCACGAGTGCCACAAATACACCAAAAAATAACAATTAATACCTGACACCCTGTCTCCTCCTAACAGTCTTCTAAGCACATAAATAATGGACTATTACAGTAAACTTTCCCATTAATTTTATAGAACAAAATTGGCCTGATTATATAACCAGTGCTAATAGAATGAGACTGATTAAGCTCTGCTCTCGCCGATAGCTCCATCATGCACATGGATCTACAAAAAATGGGGAGAATGTCCAAAACTGTAATGACTTTTTGCGTTCGGTGACAATAAAGTGTTAATGTACTACCGAGCTGGGCTAAATCCACATGGACTGATGAACACGTTCATCAAAATGCACTTTTTTTTTCTTTTTTTTTTTAGGACAAATGTTGTTGAAAACTCAAAGAGAAGATGTTGACCAGCTCCATCCATACATCTGCTTTTGCTTCAGAAATAATGGATTCATGCAATAGAGCCATGTTTAATCAACAATAAAATAATGGACTTTTTTCCCCAGTGACTGCTGATAACAGATATTATCAAACTCAAACCAAAGGCAGGGAAATAAAATGACTAACATCTGGGTCTGTTCTCCCATTGATGCATGCATGCAACTCTTGCTAATGTTAATAGGGACTGGGCACATATATGGGAGAGAGAAGAGTCCTCCTTGGCACCCAAGTACAGTACTAAACAACGAAGGGGGTTCATTTTCCCTTAGCTGTGTACCCGTAGCTTTTGCTAGACAGTATGGGATTTGCATATGGGCATCTAGAGGAAGTCTGGTAAATGGATGCTCATTCAAAATTATACATCAATTTTAGTCAGAACTGATTAAATCTATTTCCAGGCTCTAGATCTGGAATGAGCAAACAAGCCCTTAAAATGATATATTAAAAAGTTAAATGCTTTATTTAAAAGTGGAAGCACAGCTCTAAGGCTGCAACCCAAAGCAGTTCAAGCGAATGCATCATATTTAGGCCCTGATGCTGTAAATGCTTGTTTATGGGAGGACCCATTGTGTTTGGTCATCTAATGCATCGAATTTCTCATGTGAGGCCATCATTGGGACTTTCCTCACGTACCAAGTCACTCATAGGAGTCGGTATTTATAGAAAGGAGGGCTTACATTTTATGTGATGGGCTGGTATTGCAAAATTCTCTTTTAACTCTTGAATACTATCTGCACTGCAGTATTTTTGCATGCTTTTTCCCCCCTGTGGATTAATTATGCAGAAACAGGTTTCAGGTGAAACATGCAGCTGGAAAGGAACGAAGCACTTTATTTAGACTGGTGGCTCCTTTCGACAGGAACTGGCATATGGGGGGAGGTGTTTGATGCCCACAGCGCCTACCAGGATTGGGCCATATTCCTTACTATTGCTATAAATAATGAAAGTGTTATCAAATGCACATAAGGCAAGAAGATCTAAAAGCGAAGCTGTGGAAAAGGCCCCCACGGGGTGACAGTGAAGATGCCCTTTTTAAACAGGTTCCAAATATACTGGGCTAATTTTTTCCCTCAGTAACAAGCAGATATGTTCCAGTGAAATTACTGGTAGCAGGTATCAGAGGACACTACCCTTGGGGATTTTTAATTAAGCTTCCGAATTTTTCTTTTTTCAACTCTTCTACAAGGATATAGCGACATCTGCAGCTGTTTGGAAAAATACATATTACTTTAGATTTTACAAAAGGAAAAAAAGGACATTTATAGACACCAAGAAGTCAATGAAGATACACCACGGATAAATCCTATTGTTTGCCCAAGTCCAAATTTGGGATCACCGTGTTTCTAATATTTAAAGCTCATCTCTTGGCGAGGGCACCATCACTGAAGACAACAACATGTTCCCTGAAAAAAGAATATACAAACTAAGCAAGTGTAAGGGGCTCTTCTTATTAGGAACCGAATAAAATATTCTGAAATAATCAAGTGTTTTTTTAAGGTTTTCAGGGTGCTGACTCCTTATTTAATGTGAAAGTATTTCATAAACCTTTTCCACTTAGTGTACTAGTGAAAAATGTATCAATGTTGGCACTCAACTTCTTTACAAGTTGAGCACCAAAGGTCTGGAACAGACCTCCCTCCCCCCCCCCCCCCCCCCCCCCCCACACCAACC